CCTCTGAGAATCGTCAGTCTGTTCCATTTCCATGCCCCTGATTCTATTCCATTCATCAGTTTAGTCTGTTCATCAGATTTTTTATTCATTTATTTTTAGATTCAGTTGTTGATAGATATGTATTTGTTGCCAATTGTTCATATTTTTTAAAATATATTTTATTGATTTTTTACAGAGAGGAAGGGTGAGGGATAGAGAGTTAGAAACATTGATTAGAGAGAAACATTGATCAGCTGCCTCCTGCACACCTCCTGCTGGGGATGTGCCCACAACCAAGGTACATGCCCTTGACCAGAATCAAACCTGGGACCTTTCAGTCCTCAGGCCGATGCTCTATCCACTGAGCCAAACCGGTTAGGGCTGTTGTTCATATTTTTTATTTTTATCTTTTTCTTCTTCTTCCTCTTCTTAAAGAATACCCTTTAGCATTTCATATAATACTGGTTTGGTGGTGATGAACTCCTTTAGCTTTTTCTTGTTTTAAAGCTCTTTATCTGACCTTCAATTCTACATTATAGTTTTGCTGGGTACAATAATCTTTGTTGTAGGTTCTTGCTATTCATCACTTTGAATATTTCTTGCCACTCCCTTCTGGCCTGCATCGTTTCTGTTGAGAAATCAGCTGACAGTCGTATAGGCACTCCCTTGTAGGTAACTAACTGCTTTTCTTTTGCTGCTTTTAAGATTCTCTCTTTGTCTTTTGCTCTTGGCATTTTAATTATGGATCTTGGTGTGGGTCTCCAGGGGGTTGCAAAGTCAGCCACTGCCAGGGCCACCCAGCAGGAGCTACAAAGAGATCTGCAGATGCCTTCTCTTTATATACGGTTTGGAAGTGTCCAGATGAGGCTCAGCTGTGAAGCAAGGCAGGCTCCTGCTGGTGTGGGTCTTGAGCCTTTTATTGATAGGTTTGGGACTCCCTGACCCAGCTGCAACTTGTTTGACAGGTTTTCGCCTGAGAAAGGATAGGCCATTCATTTGCAAAAGCAGCTGCACACAGCTTGAGTGGGGTTATAAATTGAGTGGGGTGGGGTCTCAGAATCTCCAGGGCTGAGCAAACAGAAATGGCTGCCAGTCAACCCTACAATGAGGTCCCAGAACAGGAATAATGACTGCTGCGAACGCCTCCATCTGGAAGAAAGCCACCCCGAGTTCCTGCCCTGATGCCAGACAGGCTAATTTCTCCTAGTATGTGTCTGGGTCACCTAGAGCCTTGCCAGCACTGGAGCTCAGAAGAGGTGGGAGCTTGTAAATTCAGTTCGTGGTTCAGGCCTTTTAAGAGGAGCAGCTGGGTCTCCAACAGCCTGTGTGTCACTAAGCCCCAGTCCCCACTGGTTTTTACAGCCCATACTTCTTACTGCTCATAGGGACTTCTTTTCCCACCTCTGGGACCCTGGGCTGGGCGTCTGGTGTGGGGCTGGGACCCCTTGCTCCTCTGGGCAGCCTCCGCAGAGGCAATCTCCCTCCCAATTAAAAAGGTGATTAAAAAGCGGCACACATGGGTGCCTGATCAGCCTGCTCCTCACCTCCACACCTCCTACCAGTCTCTGTGTGCTTTCTTCTTTACTTCTCTAGTTGTAAGACTTCCATTCAGCCAGCTTTCAAGGTTTTGGATAATGGTTGTTCTATATTTTAGTTGTAATTTTGATATGGTTGTGGGAGTCAGTTAATACAGGCGTTTGCCTACACTGCCATCTTGGTTCTTTAAGCCAGTTTTCATAACAGGAGGTGATTTGAAATTAGAATGTGCTTGCATGCTTTGTTTTACTCAGGATTCCTACCATGGTGCCTGAAATGTTTTAAAATAATCTGTCCTAGAGATCAACCAAAGGACTTGTATGCATGCATATAAGCCTAACCAGTGGACACAGACAACAGGGGGATGAGGGCATGAGTGGGTGTTTGGGGGGGGGGGATAATAGGGGGATAAGGACACATATGTAATACCTTAATAAAGAAATTTTAAAAATAAATAAATAAATAAAAACTGGAAAAAATAATCTGTCCTTTTATATAGTTGGGTCAGATTTACAACATCAATTTCCTTAGCAAATAGGTTTATATAGTAACTATGAAGTAAAAATTCAGCCAATTCTCTTATTGATAGCTTTCCTTTCTTAATTTGTGAGGCCCACATATTTCAAATTTAACTTTATTTGTGGCAACTAGCAAAATGATGTTTGTTAAATCTAAAATGTTCACCTTTAAAAAATTTAATTTTAAAAAATCCATTTTAAAAATGGAACACATGATCATTAATCAAGAGATATGTATGGATAGACTGTGAAAACTATATCTCTCTTGGACACTTCCATTCCCCTCCCAAGAAAACATCACTGTTTATCCTCACTTTTACATTTTAAATAATCCTCAATATAATGGAGGCTCTCAGCTTCTATCCTATTGAATATAATTCATTATTAAAGCAGATTATGAGCAATAAAAGAGGTTAATAGTAGTGACACTACATATGACATTTTTCAATGACAAAAAAATAAGTAAAATAATACAATTGAGAAAAAATACCACATAAACTCATTATTTTTGAGTGTCTGTGCACCCAATGATCTATAATTATTCTATTTCCTTTATAACATTTACTTTTAATTGTTCCTATTTTAAAACAGTTCTCTGCTGAGTCCCATAAAATTTCAGTTTTCATTTTTGGAAGTCTTTGTATTTTTTAAACAATCACTACTATGCCTAGTTCTTAAAATGAAGATGAAGCGATATATTTTTCTCTCTTTTTGCCTAACATACAAGTAAGTAACACATTTGTTTAATAAAAGTTAATTTGAAAATGTACACTTTTATTTTTCTGCATAACATTTACTGTATAATTTTCATTTTTTGAAAATTAACTGTGAATGTAAGTTACATAAAAACAGGAGTTTATTTTTTTTCACTCCTTTATCACCAATGCCTTGAGCACTGCCTAGTGCATAGAAGTGTTCTATACATGGATGCAATCATGGCAGTAATGACAGGTATGACGGTATTCAGACTAGAGTTTCATGGATTCTGCAGGAGGAATGACTTAGTGGGATGTTCCTAAGAAAGCAAAGGCCTTTCTATTCAAGGCTTTTAATTCTGTCTTCATGGGGTTTTTTGTTTTATTATTCCAAAGGAAAATTTTTTTAAAATTTCAGTTTTTTAAATAATAAGAATCCTAATGTCAGAGTAGATTCACTCTTCAAAAATTAAAGTAGTATGTCTTATGTATCATTCTTTAACATGTATAATCCCAATTAAAGACAATGTATATTTTCTTTGAAAATGAAGACAAATTTCTTCTTCTTCACTTTTAATTTAGCTTGAGGTGAAGTTCTGGTTAATATTCTACAGGTGGTTGTTGATCCCCAGGTTTATAGGCCTTTTCTCTGACCATTGTGTGTTCTTTAGGAAGACAGTTTAGGACCAAGCTGCCTATTGAGTAGAATGGCCTTTGGTTCCTTAAACGATAGAATTTGTGTGGCTAAGAGAAAAAGTTGTGATACATTTAAATTTTCTCATTTAAAGTTTGCATACATTTAAATTTTTAATACAAATTTCTGCAGTTACTTGTGTTTTATAAATCAAATTATTATCCTCATACATAGTGTCATTTAAAGTGCTAAAGGTATTCTTTTTGAAAATCTGCTTAATTATGATATAAAAATTGTGGGTAGGTTTTACTGAATTAACACTTGACTATTCCCTCCACAGATATTTTTTTGAAATGATTCCTTTTGCCTGATAACATCATGTGAAATTTATTTTTAGGGGGATACTGCCTACTTAAGAGATCGCTGGTGTGTTTTTGATGGAGTTATGGTCGTTTTCCTTTGGGTTTCACTGGTGTTGCAGGTAATTAAAAACTTTTAAATTATAAGTGAGTAGTTTCCAAAGTTTGCATTGAAAATCTAACTAGATATATAAAAGCATATATATATATAAAATGCCACTGTATACTTTTCTACAACATTATATTATTTTTAAAAATTTATAAATAAAAAGACTAACATTTTAATCATTGTCAATCACATTTGTGAATTAATTCTCAATAAGAAATGAAAAATCAATAGTATAAGAAATTGCTTTTTATTGAACAGGTATACAAATATATTCATGAAAAGTAAGGAAAGAACATGGGGTGAGATTTCAGTATTTGCGGAATAAAAAGAAATGGGGTACAAAAAAAGCAATGGGGTACATATATTTAAAAGTTCTAAAGGAGGAATTTTGTTGGAAAATGGTAGAACTCATTCCCATGCATTCAATCAGTCTTAATTTTGCATTTAACTAAAGTAACTATAATCTTCATGAAAATATTCAGAAAAAATAAATTCACAGTTCATTCTGCAGACTTATCCTAGTGCTTATTGATAAGCCGTCTTTGTTTTTACAAAGCTCACCTCTCTAACAGCCTAATTTATCCTGCTTAGTAATGTGTTCTTTTCCATTTAATAACTATTGTATGATTGACAAACATTTTCCAATTATTACTTCACCTCTTAGTAAATGGTACATTTTTTCACATTTTCTAATAACACTTTTAATCCTGTCTCCATTATTTCATTTTCTAAATATTCAAAAAGTTTCACCAAAGAACATGCTTAGTTAGGAAGACTTAGCACCCTTTTTACTATATTCTAAGTTGGCACTTGTTTTTGTAATAAAACCTGTACTTTGATGAAGTATACAAGATTAAGAAAATGAAGAAGATTGATGGCACTTTCATTAGCTGATGATTTGTTTCTCCTAAGAGAGCGGTAGCTTCTAGAGATACTCAAAAGAAAATTGATTTCAGTAGAAAAAAAATGTAGGGCAAAGTTTAGGGAACAGGATGCACCTCCTGATGCTGTTTGTATATGTCACCACTACAAATCATGATAAGAGAAAGTCTAAACTTGTTTATTCACCTTTAAATTTACAGGTATTTGAAATTGCTGATATAGTTGATCAGATGTCACCTTGGGGCATGTTGCGGATCCCAAGGCCACTAATTATGATCCGAGCATTCCGAATTTATTTCCGATTTGAACTACCGAGGACCAGAATTACGAATATTCTAAAGTAAGCACTACTTTCACATAAGTTAAGGGGAGGAAGTTTATGACTTTTTAAAAATAAGCTTTACCTATTTTATGTTTTTTTTTTCCCCCTAGGCGATCAGGAGAACAAATATGGAGTGTTTCAATTTTCTTACTTTTCTTTCTGCTTCTTTATGGAATTTTAGGAGTTCAAATGTTTGGAACGTTTACCTATCACTGTGTGGTAAATGACACAAGACCAGGGTAAGTTTATCTCCCAACTGCATTTTAATCTAGGTGATTAACAAGGATATTTTTGCAATTCTCATGAGAAAAAGCTCGGTATCTAAAATTTTTAGAAGTTTTTATGTGTTCTCTCTTCTATATCCTCTGCTTCCTTGAAATTGTTTTGTCCAATTCTTAACACATGTATTCAAGACAAGCCAAACTGAAAAATCTAACCCCTTGGGAGAGTAGATTAAGCAAATTTATTTTTTAAAATATATTTTTATTGTTTTCAGAGAGGAAGGTGAAGGAGAGAGAGAAAAACATCAATGATGAGAGAATCATTGATCAGCTGCCTCCTGCACTCCCCGTACTGGGGATCAGCCCTGCAACCTGGGCATGTGCCTGGACTGGGAATGGAATCATGACTTCCTGGTTCATAGGTCAACGTTTAACCATGAGCCACATGGCCCAGCTGGATTAAGCAAATTTAAGGAATACATTTAGAAATTTTCCCCAGTGTGGCAGAATTCCATCAGAGTAAAATAAGAAGGGGATGAAAAATGGTATAACT